ACAATATTATTTTTTATTAAGAAAAAGGCTTCTTCTTTCATGCATGTGTCCCATTTCTTGATTTCACATAAACTAGGTGGGACCCACATACTTGATTCTTGTTGTAATTTACTAGTATCAAATTGAACATCGGCAAAATGAATAAAGCGTGATTTTTTTTTTTGAATTGTGGATCTTGATTCTTGTTGTAATTTATTGTTACAGCTGTCGTTTCAAATGTGGACCGATCAAATGCAAGAATCATTGAATTCAAAGAAAAAAGGGGATATGGCATTCCGACACAAGGATTTCAAGGATGCAATAGAGTGTTATTCTCAGGTTCTTTCTTTTGCACATTTCCGATCGATGATTATTATTATTATTATTTTTGTCAAAATTGCAACGCTGAATGTTGGTAAAATGTCTAAAATACCCTTTGGAACCACCAAAGAAACTTTTGGCAAAGAATGTGCATGACCTACGTTTTCTGTACAAGTAATGTCGCACCTAATTTGACTATTTCTTTCCCACAAAAAAAACACCTACTTGACTTAACAGTTAGTCAAAAGTCTAAAATACCCTTACATAGTTATTTACTTATTTACTTAATTGATATGCAGTTCATTGAACATGGACCAATGGTATCACCAACAGTGTACGCGAGGCGTAGTTTATCGTATCTGATGAATGACATGTCACAGCCTCAGGAGGCATTAAGTGATGCAATGCAAGCTCAAGTGGTGTCACCCGTATGGCACATTGCTTCATATCTACAAGCTGCCTCACTTTTTGCCCTTAAAATGGAAAATGAAGCCCATGCTGCCCTTAAGGAGGCTGCAACCCTTGAAGCCAAGAGAACCACCCTTCCACCAATGGATCTGCTCAATGATCCACTCGACACTTGTTCATATCAGTCAATGTTTTGCTGTAAATCTCTGAAATTTCTTGTCGACTTAGAATGAGATGTTTGACTTTTTTCGCTCAATGGTCAAATGCAATGGCTTTTTCATGTTGATTTTGGGTTTTTGATTTTTTTATATGTTATTGAGTAAGTTGGGACCTTGTGTAATGGGAAGATTGAAATAGGAAAATTGCATTCTTTTGTTGGAGATTTGAATGTAAAGCAAACAACTCATTGACTCTAGTTTGTGTACAAAAATGTTTATTGTTTATTTTCTTGGTTAGTAAACTCTATCTATCAGACTAGCCCCATTCACAACCCAATGCAATCCAAATATAAATTAAATAACTAATTTTTCTCTCTTCCATCTATACAACCCAACTAAATACAAACTTTCACTCTCATTAACAACTCAACCTAAATCATTTTTTATTAAACAATTATAATTTTTTATTCTTTTCTTATATAACAAAAATTATTAAATTTATTTAAAAAATTCAAAACAACTTAATTATTTATTTAAAATATAGAAGTATACGTATATATATGAGATATTTTAGAATCATAACTAAATAAATCAAGTTTCAAATGTAACATAATATATAAAATTACAAATATAGAAGGTGCAAAGTACATATTATTCATGAATGCCAAATTTTTGTCATATATGCTCAATTAAATTATTTTTTAGAGCTATATACGCATCTCTATTACGAAGTTGTTCCCTATTGGTCATATAAATGTCAGTAGAGTATTCAAATTGTTGTTCATCATCTTGAGTAGAGCTGTTTCGTCGCTGGTTTGTAGGCATGTCATTTAGAAATTCAGATGGATCATAATAGTTAAAGTATGTGTTTCGTTCATCCTCAACGATCATATTATGAATGATTATACACGTCATCATAATTTTTCCCATAATATCTTTGTCCTAGACCAGACATGGACGTCAAAGAAATGCAAAACGAGCTTGTAAAACTACAAATGCTCGTTCAACATCTTTTCTGGCGGCTTTTTGAGGTTCAGTGAACAACTTGTGTTTTCAGATTTGTGGATCAGTTGTTGACTAGACAAAGGCAACCCATGCAAGATATATTCCATTAGTGAGATAATACGACATTACTTTCGCGAACCATTCTCAACGTAACTCACATTTGGTGCTCGGCCTGCCAAGGCATCACTAAAAATAGGTGATCGATATTAATATCATTGCACGAACCTGGTGTTCCAAAGAATGTGTGTCATATTCATAAGTTATACGATGCAACAACTTTCAGAATACGTGCTCGACATTTTTCACATAGCTTCATTAAAAACAACCAAGCCGCTAAACTTCTTGTTCCTATTTGCCTCATAAAATTTATGAGCTTCGTTCTCGATATATTTTTGTCTCATTCCACTCGTTTTTCGACGATATGCTTCCTGGTAGGCACCAACCCACTTTTGAGCATTTTCGCTAAGTCGATTATAACAACCTTTCATTTGATCCATGTTTTTGTTACCGATATTTCCTTGGTTTTCTACATGGGCTTGATCATACAATGCCTTTACTCGTGCCCATAATGATTCTTTTTTCTATTTTTTGCCATGAACTCTATTTTGACTAGCAATACGCCATGAAGACATTAAAACGATATCTTCTGCAACATGTCATTTATTGCCTCGTGGTTGTGTTTCAGCGTTTTGTGAGGTATGAAGATTTGCAGTGACAGAAGCTTGATTTTGGAATTGATAAAAACTGTATGTTTTCAAAGTATTGAGTATTTTGATAATCTTGAGAACCACCAAAATTCAAATCAAAACTATTTGAAAACGAAGGATCCATGACATTAAATACGAAGTTGAAAGAGATTCGAAATAGGAAACCAAACTTGGATATGGAAATATTTGGATATTGTAGTCTCTTTATAAAGAAAAAAAATCATAATTTTTAGTAATAATTTTCAAGGTTGTGAAAATCGTTCGACGGTAGCTGGGCGGTTGACTGACGTTAAGTGATTAATTGGACTAGACGGCGATTAATCGGAGATTAATTGGTGACCCTAAATTATTTATAAATTTATTTAAAAAATTAATATATCCTAAAAAAATAAGTATTGGAAAATTTTGAATTTTAAAAATTTGAAAATTTTAGTATAATATTTTAAATTTGAAAACTTAAAAGTTTGAAATTTTAAAATTTTGTTGTAATATTTGAAATTAAAAATTTTGAATGTTTAAAATATTTCTCGCCTATGACCGCTGAGGACCGCCAAACCTGGATTTGACCGATTTTAACCAATTTTCGCCTAGCATTCTAATCGTAATCAGTTCAAGGCCGTCGGCGATTAATCATCCACCAAGACCGATTTCTGCAACACTGATAATTTTATATTTTTTATGAATTCTTTAAGAAGATTACATTTCAAGAATGTGAACATTTCGATGAGTTTTAATAAATATAAATGGCTATTAGATAGATCATGTGATACTTTTGTCAAAAGTAATTAAATTGATGTAAATAAAATAATAGAAGTCTAATTTTTTTATGGAGACATCATTTACATGTTCAATATTTAATATGTGTTTAATAACTTAATAGACTTTCATGTATAGCAGACATCATTTACATGTACTTAATAACTTAAGGGACAAAAGAAAATAAACAAGTCCTCTTCTTTGTTACTAATTGGTATTTACGTCCCAAAATAAAATGTAAATGCTAGGTAGATATGAAATTTCAATATAAGAGGTTGACGATAATTAGGTAAATACCTAAAGTGCCTCTCGTTCAATACAAAATAAACTTAAAACTTCTTAGAAGAAAAAATAAAAAGAAACAACATAGGATAGATTAGGGCCCAACCGGGTTCGAACCGGTGAACTATTGATCTGCAGTCAATTGCTCTACCACTGAGCTATGGACCCGTTGATGTTTGTATCTAAATGAAAATGAAAATATTATTAAAAACGGAAGTTTTTAAAAACTGAAAAAAACAAATAGGGCCCAACCGGGTTCGAACCGGTGACCTATTGATCTGCAGTCAATTGCTCTACCACTGAGCTATGGACCCTTTGTTGTTATTTATCCGATCATTATATTTAAATACAATAATTAGTTTCAGCTAAATGGTACAACAATCCAACCATAGGTATAGAGCAGTCGAACCACAATAACCCATTTCACGTCGTAAAGTAATCATCGTACCACCTTAATAAACATACGTCTAAGCATGCAGAAAGTACAACCCACAAGGCAAGCCACATATGCAACACAATCTTCTTCTTCCACCCATATCCAATTCAAATAACTCATTAAGTCGCGGATCTAGAAAAAACAACTAGGGTATGCAGCCTTTAGTAATGTATCTAGAAATATATATTTTATTCCGGTAACATGGGGCGCATACAATTACTAGCTTGGATACCGATCCCTTTCAACTGAAAAACCGCAATGTCAATCCTACAAAAATTAAGAAAAAGAAATAAACACTTAAAAAATAATTAATACTAAAAAGAATCAATAATTAGTAATCATCACATAATAAAATTAAGGTTGTCAAGATTGACAGATTTCTAGCCTTTTATGGCAGGATGAACTTCGTTCGGATCATTGTCCGATTATTATAGTCAGTGAATTTTTGGTTTACCGACAGTTCTTTTTATTTTTTTTAAATTTGTGGATGTTGTTATAGCATTCGTTCTGGGTTTCGGAAATAAAAAAATGTTGTATGGTGTTGCGGTAATGATAAAGCTTTGGGACCGGATGAGTTCACTTTTGTAAATGAATTCTGGGATGTTCTTAAAGTCGATATATTTAATTTTATTAAAGATTTTGAAGGGATGGGTGCATTAAGTAGAGGATGGAGTGCTTATGTTTATTTCGTTGATTCTTAAGATTAAAGATCTGCTGTCTTTGAAAGATTATAGACAAGTAATCTTATTTATCGGTGTATGTGTAAGGTAGAAGTATTGGGCTTCTTGAAATGTGAGCCCGCTTGTTACCCTTTCACATATCTTGGGTTCCTCGTTGGAGCCAATATCTAAAATTTAGTGTCCTATTATGGATAAGTTTCGGGCTAAATTGTCAAATTGGAAGGCAGTTCAAAAAAAATATGCAACACAAAGTAGATTTGAATAAAAACAAAAGTACAAACAAAAATACCATTCAGGCATTCATCATCAGCGTTACATCTGTTACACATTCTAAAATACCAACGTACTATCCATCATTCAAACAAAACCAGTATCATACTAATCAAGATTCTGCAATGTCAGGATGATCAGGTATCGGATTAGCTGCCCGGAAATCCTCTTTGGTTCTACCATAATAAGCCGCCAGTTTGCCGCCCAGAAAAGTCACAAAATTCCAACCGAAAGCGGACCCTCCGACGATGTAACTGCCCGGAGTTACTTCTTCAGGGTGGTGCTTATTGGCGGTAGGCAGCTCTTCAGAAGCTTTTCTGGTGACCACCTTTTCCTTCTCTACTGGCGGCGGCTGTGGTGGCTCAGCCGGTTTGACCTCCGGTGGTGGTGGCTTTTTCTGATCATGAACTCCATCGATTCCGTTCTTACACTTTTCCATGGTGATTGTGTCTGTTGTCATGTCTTTGTATAGCTTCATTAAGACCTTCATTTCTGTGGAATATAGAAATAAAAATGGAAATGAAAATGAAGTTTATAAAACTATGATTGTCAATTGTTATATTAAAAAAAAAAAAAAAAAAAAAAAACTTACGTTGGGTGATTTCATGAGCAGCTTTGGAAGTCTGGAAGTCTGGAGTTCGGAGTACCTTTAAGATGAGAGGGATTAATCAGGAATTTGATGCAAATAAATTGTAAAAGAATATGAATTCATAACTGTTCTTATAAGATTCGAAGTAAAAATGAATTCTATGCGACTTAGTATGAATGTTTATAGAAATCCAGTTGAAAATCATAAACCCTAATTGAACTAACGATAATTGCACAAGTCCATAACCAAATCATGAGTAATTGCAAAATCTCCCATCTTTAACTTACTATGAAAGTTTAGTGTCTAAAGAAATCCAGAAATTAAAACTTTAGGATCTATTCGAGAAGTTAAACCTAAATTAATCATAATAGGCAGGGCAAAAACAATAAGATCACATAACAAGAATTAACATAAAAATTCAAATTGTATGACGGAGCAACTATTTGAACAGATCGAAAACAAGTATACTAACTGGAAAGAGATGAAATTAGGGTTTATAAAACAAGACGAAAAGTGCGTACAAACAGAGCATCATTTGGGATTTGTTGTTACGACTTGATTACCTCAAGGAAATGAGGACGAAGATCCTTAAGAACGGCTCGAATCTTGAAGTAAGTTGAGTCTTGGATGTTGACATTGCAATCAGAAGGACGTTTTTTGGGATTTGCTTGGAGATTTTGGGGACGATTCGGGATTTCCATTTTGTATATTGCAAGATTGAATTAAAGAAAAGTAGTCGACTTTGGTCTGTTTGATTTCAACTTCCTGGATTTTGTAAAGAATCAAATCAGAGAGATTTGAGGCAATGGAATGTATCTATATATATACGGGTATGTCGATAATTTTTACAGAGGGTTATATAATTTTCGTTGGGTTGTCTACCTAACCAATTTTACCCCCTAACATCAATCAAATCAACTTTTTATTTTTATCTGACATTATTATTATTATTATTTTTTCATTTTTGTTTTTGATTTTTTTTCTTTTTATTTTATATTTTAATATTATTACTATTAAATTCGGATGACATTTTAAAATTCGGTAAACATTATAAATTCGCACAACATTATAAAATTCGAACGACTTTTTTGTCCGTAATTAAAAAATATAAAAAAAATATTTAAAAACCGATTTTATATAGCCGTTTGAATTTATAATGTCTTCCGAATGTTAAAATTTTGTGCGAAATTTATAATAATAATAATAATAATAATAATAATAATAATCAAAATATAATAATAATAATAATAATAATAATTAAAAAAGAATTAAAACAACAAAAAAACAAAATAGAAAAAAAAAACAAAAAAAAACAAAAAATCAAATCAAAGGGGTGGAATTAGAAAAGGAATGAGGTACTTATAGAAAACCCATTTTTTTTCTCGTACTCTCAAACTTTTTTTTTTCATCTAACCCTGCCATCCTAGGATTTGAACTTTGTTGTTTCGGTTCCTCCGTCTAACTCAATTAGATCTTGTTGTTAAGTTCATTGTAAAAAAAGACATTTTTAATCTTAAAATGGTACCAACAACCGGTCAACCATCAGTCACCCATCGCCACCGCCGACTATTAACTTCAAACAAATCGATAAATGATTTCGATGACACATGCAAAATAAAACTACTGAAAAATACAAACTAAAAACTGTAAAATCAGATATTTAATGTGGCTTAGTTAATCTGACCTACATCCGCGAGAGAGAGAGAGAGAGAGAGAGAGAGAGAGAGAGAGAGAGAGGATTGTATTATTACCAAGAAAATCACAATCATACAATGCTAAACTGCATTTGTAATCTGATCACTCACTGTAAGATATCACTCGTATTTTTTGGTTGCCAAACAATAGGATTTGAACAAAAAGAACCACCTTACTCTATATTTTCTATCCGGTATTTATTGTTGTTGTTGTTTTTTTTTGTGTGTTCTATTCTTGATGCAACACACTTCAATATATAAAGATATATTGTCGTCAATTCAAGAAGTGTAAATTTGTTGGATTAGGTGTCTAAGCCCATAACTATAATTGGTATGTACTTGATTTGATAGGTAGCATGGTCCTTTTGGGTTGCCTTCACTCATGCAACTTGATATGATGACAAATGGAGAGAGAGTAGAATTTATTATGTGAAATAATAAATTGGTAATTAGAATGATTTTATTAATATATTACAAGATTAATATATTATTTGGAAATCATATTATTAATTAGTGATTAATCAGAAATTAATTTGACATTAATTTTGGGATTAAATGAACTGATTAATAATGGAGGGGCTGTTTTGCAAATCACTGATAGTTGCAGGACTGGGGTAATGGACTCCTTAATAAGGAGTGGACGAAATCATATAGGGAAGCCCTATAGATTTCGTCCAAGGCCTCATAAGGAGGAGTCCATGGGCCGCTTAAGCCTTAAGCAGGAATTAGGGTTTCCTCCAGAAACCCTAGCAGCCCACAGCTATATAAGGAACCATCCACTATAGGATTTTCGACCTATGCAAGATTCTAAAAGAACCCTATCCGATTTCCTCATCTCTCCTACTCATCCTTTGCATTGAGTGTTTGTGGCTCCATTAGAGGTGCAACACTTGGGGCACTAGGCTTTCAGAAGTCAAGATCAAGCAAGGATTGTACTTGTTATTACAATATAACAAGTGAGGTAATCATCTAACCCTAATAATTTTTGTGAATTTCGATCCTATGTTTTTGGAGCTGTGCAACCTCTAGAACTTCACCGATGAGAGTGTTTCTGAGTTGATGGAGGTTGAGGGTGATCGAAACCTAACCCCCTTATCCTTTAAATAGGGCCCAAGGCCCAAAATATAGGGTTTTGAGACCCAACCGCCACCGCGTCATAGCAAGGAGTTGACCATGTTGTGGTCATTAAATGACCACCGCGTCGTGGCACAGAGCTTACCATGTCGTGGTAACGAAAAAAATCCCAAAACCACAATGTTATAAAGCCTGGAACTTATACTTGAAAACCGAGTGTTATATAATTAGTGTTGAGCCTTGTCGGAACAAACCAAGTTAGGGTTAATGATCCTGAAGGAATTATGCATTTGAATTGATAAAGTTGGAAACTTTATCCATTAAATCATCGAGAATAATCAGATCCGTAGTTCTGAGCCTTAATATGTAAGGATTACGTGCTTAATGAATTAAGCTTCAACAAGAGGATCCGCGGCACGACTAAGGGATGGCCACAACACAGTGCCTAGAGTGTCACGATTGTTTTGTTATAGAGTGACCGCGGCGCAGTCAACATCTTGGTCACGACGTGGTGAGCGTTGACTTTTGACAAGTTTGGCTTTTAGTCAATTGTGTTAGGTTTGGGTCTTGGAGGGGCAAAATGGTCTTTTGCTCATAAAATAACTTTATTTGGACCTATACTTGATAAGGAAGTGTAGATGAATGTTTTGCCTTAATTGTTAAATTAAGGTTACGTATTGTGTAGTGATTTGAGGAAGACTCGATGCCACTAGCTTGGTTTTGTGGATTTCATCTTGTCATATATTCAAGTGAGTTCTCACGAAGTTTCTTATTATGTGGACTATGTAATTATGATATGTACGACCAGGAATAGCCTCTTGGAGGGAAGTATGTTCGGGAGGATCGAGCAACTAGAGAATAGCATTTCGGATGAAAGTTCTAGTTGTACCATGACGATATGTTGATCACGAACAACCTCTCGGAGAGAAGTGTGGTTGGGAGGATATGACAATTAGAAAATAGCCTCTCGTAAGGAAGTTCTAGTTGTACCATGACAATATATTGATCATGAACAACCTCTAGGAGGGAAGTATGATCAGATGATCTGCGTTCTAGAGAATAGGCTCTCAGAGGGAAGTTCTAGATACAATTTTTAGGAGTATGCTAGCATATGTTATATGGTAGAATGTAAGTAATGTGTGACTTATTACTTGGATTTTATGTGCTATTCTGTGTGTTGCATATGATTTGTATAATGGGTGAGTGTTGTGATTACTCACTAAGCCTTAGGCTTGTAGTTGCTACCTTATGCTTTTCTCAACTGGTTTGTCTGATGATTAGATGGGAGGGATCCGACATGATTACAACATCTAGAAATTCTCAAGGGCATGACATATATCCAATATTTATTAATTTTACGAAGTGATTTTCAAAACAATGTTATGCTTTTGCAACACGATGGTATTATGTTTAATATAATAATGAGATGATACATTTCTGATTTCAAGAATTGCTTTTAATATAACGAATAATGTCTTATATTCATGAAAATTTATACTTTGATTTTTAAAAAAATTACTGTTTGAACTTTGGGATTTTACACCATAGCATACACCAAGCTACCAACTGTAGATGCATATGAAACTTTAGCCATATGTTCCTTATCTTCTTCCGTCTTTGGGGATTGTTTCTTTGAGAGTCTTAACTGACTACCCAAAGGTGTACTTCTGGCCTTAGCATCTATCATGCTGAACTTTTCTAAAACTTTCTTGATGTACTTAACTTGTGAAAGTTTTAGTGTACCGGTAACTTTGTTCCTGGCTATGCTCATGTCTAATATCTGCTTAGTAGCCCCTAGGTTGTAACATCCAATTTCAGGATGTTTTTATTTCGAGATAACAGATTGTAATTTGATCAAGTAAAGGTATTGGGCTTCAAAAGATAAAGTTGGAACTTATTATATGTTGATAATGTTGGTTAAGCGATTTAAGCCCCTGAATGTGTAATGGAGCCAAAAGGGGTAAAATGGGAAAAAGTGATAGTTTGGACTTTTTGCATGTATTAACGAATTAAGTTCTGAATACATCGAGTCAAAAGAAATTAGATAGAATTGTGGAGCTTGTTAATACCTTCACATGTATATAAATATCACTGAAAATGGGTTTAGAACAAAGAAGTTGTGATTGTTTGAAGCTGGAATGAAATCCGAGAATTGTGTCACCACGATGTGGAAAGAAGGTTACCACGACGCGGTGATCTGTGAAACGTAAGCCCATAATATTAGGTTTCCCTTATATTTAAAGGCTATATCTCATTGTTTTAGCTCATTTTCAACCTCCATCACATCAGAGAGCTCCTTAGGAGCAAACACTAGCCTGCCTTTTCATAGATTGAGCTCTTCCTCTCTCCTCTCATCCACGTTCTTGTGTTTTTATGGATTAAGAGTGTTGTGTTACTGAAAGAATTGGTTATTAAGCTTTTTAATTGATGAGATCAACCTTCATTCTTCTTCCGGACCATGGTATGCTACAGATATTCAAGCTTTATTGGGTTTCATCCTTGGATCCATGTGTTTTTGGTGTTTTTGTCCATTTTTATATAGTTATGGTCTCTTTATGGTTTGATATTGGGAGTTTGGAAAAATCCATAATCTTATATTCATATTAGACTTCAGATCTAACCTTTTGGTCAACTTTAGAGAGCATGCATGAGCTCTCTTTTACTCCATGCATGAAGAAAGTAGGATTTGGACTTTTAAGAAACTAGGGTTTTAGATCTAGTTGTTTTGGGATGTTTGAATGGATAAATTTGGAAACTTTATCCATTAAAACATCATTTGGATCCAGATCTGGAAGTTGGAAACTTGGACTTAATGGATTAAATCGTCTTGGAGTTGTTAGATCAGGGCAACCACAACGCGTTCGTTCAAGGGACGCGACGTGATTTATGGGTTTTTTGATGCTCACCTGTTAATGTGAATACCCGACTGTTTTGTCCTTTTATGAACACGACACGGTGAAGGGGATGGTCGCAACGCGATGGTCAGTGATGGTTGACCGTTGACCCTTGACTTTTTACAAGTTTGACTT